TTATGTCCTAAGAAATAGATGTTGTATGAATATTTCCCTGCTTGAGAACAGCACCATTATTCTATGAAGCTTAGAAACACAAGAAAGAAATAAAACCCCAACAGGAAATTGAGTTTGCACCTTATTTAATGCGTGGTGACAAAGCAGATCATTAGACTTTTCTTAATGAATAGTGTTCAATTCTGCAAACTGAGAGCCCATGCTCATAGAGTCTGCTTCTGTGGTTTTGTTTCTTCAGTGTTGAAACAATTTTTACTTAACATCAACATGGAGTAATTTTACTAAGGGCCTGGTTTTTCAACTCTCACTGACAGTAACCCTGTGGAAATCCTACATAATGCTCAGTAGGATCAAATCCTACTTCCATTCACTTTGAAAAAATCTGATCTCTTCATTATCATCATCTCTGTTAAAGCTTGGAAGTGACTCAGCTTAAGAATGATCCGAGTCCCTTGGAGATCACAGGCAATTGGATTGTTCTTGAGCAGCTACCTTTTGTCATAATAGCTCAGGCTTGCATATGCAGACCCTGTAGCTTTGAGAACTGACAGCAACACTGACGGTACCTCCAATCTTTTTGTGCTCCAAGGATGCAAAACAGTAGCTCCAGAGAGTAGTTGAAGAGAGAAGCAGCTTCTAGGTCTGTGTTTTCCATACAGTGTGAGGCAGGACTGTATCCCAGCTTATTCCATTCACTAGAGAGCCAGGATGGTCTGTTCGGAATATGAAATCCTTTGATATACAGACTCTGAGAAAAAGGCTGAGTTCCTCCAGGAGCTGTTGGTTTTCTTTTTTTGTTTAAAGAAAAATGCTGTTGTTTTTTTTTTTTTTCTCTATGCTTGTGGTATCTCACAGAATATAGAAAATAGAAATGGTTCCCAGTGTCTCATGTTTCAGAAGGGAGGTTCTGGTCATGTAAAACAGAATTTCTTCCATTATAGCGGGCCGGAAGGGTTCTTGGGGAACTGTTATTCTCCTGTAGAACTATTTCCATGTGATGGATGTTTACAGAATACCTCTCGCTTTTTGCCTTCTCAAGCATGATTTGTGCATCACTATTGGCTCCACTAATTAATTATTTCAAAGTTGTTTTTCCCATCAGCATAGGACAAAACAAAAGAACACAATTTGATGTTTCCTATTAACTGTCATCATTTTGGTATTTGTTTTTCTCTGATGACATGATATTTGTATCGCAGCAATTGCCTAGATCACACTGTTGGCTTTTATTGTACGTATGTAGTGATCACAGCTGGTTTCTCTTCATTGCCTCTGCTGTTTGTGGCATGAACGATGCAGATGGTCTTAAATAAAAACAATCACAATTGGTCCATCTTTTCTGTGGTATTTCTACAGTGGTCATAAATATGTCTGCTAAGGGAATATGTTTAAGATTGAGGGGATTTGCTGTCAGAACCGTGACTTCTGCACAGTTGCAGAAGGAAAATGAAAAAAAAAAGCTGTTTAAATCCCTTCCTTGTTTGTACGCTCTATTGTACACCAAGTGTGGATACAGTCGTATTCATCCTTTCTGATTTGATCTCTGACTCAAAGTGAAAGCAGCCTGCTGGAACAGCAGTTTTTTCAACCATGGGTGTTAACAGTCTGGGTGACCCTTGTTTTGCCCATGTAGCTTAAAGCTGTGATTAGTGATAGGAACACATGTGCTAAATTGTCTACAAAAATCCGTTGTAATGTGGGGCTGCCAGGACTTGTCTTTAATTCCTGCAGATTGGTGTGTGCTTCCTGCTGTGAGTACGCCAAAGATGATGAATCTGCTGGTGGTTCACATCATAAGCCCTTCTGCTTGTGCCTGAATTCATGACTTGCCAGTACAAGAGAATTTAACTCATTCTGAGTTATTGACAAGAAGAATAAGAGATTAGGTAGAAAGGAGACTTCATAAATAAAAGGGCAATAGCAGGAATTTATTTTTAATAACAGTAATTACTGTCTTTAAAAGACTTGCCAAACAATTTTGTCCCACATTTTCGTCACTAGGCTTGAATCCCTGTGGCCACACAAAAGCGATAGAGCTTAGTAATTGTGAGTGCATGAACCCTTTCATTCAAAGTTTGTAGTGTTTTTTGCAAGCATTGATGTGCCACAGACCTCTGTATGATACATTGAAGCTGGATTTTCAGAAGAAGCTAGAACAGAGCTAGCAGTGAAAGTTATTTTTTATCATCCTACCTTGTAAGACCCATTGCCTAGGCAGGTAAAGAGAGCCATAATGACTAAACAAGTTTTTCAAAAGATGACCCGTTGCTAGAACTGGGGACCATAGTAAAGAGCCAGAGAGTTCATATATTCAGCTTCTGAGGTAGATCCGGCAGTGTCCTGAGTGCCTTCAGCTTGAAGCTGAAATATATACAGATGCGGATGTTAAAGCTACAAGCTAAATTACAAACTAAAGGAGATTAGGAAGAAACTTTTGCATAGACACATGAGTATTCCATAGATCTTAATGAAATTTAGCAGCTTCTGAAGCATCGGGTATTGTCCACTCCATGATAATACTCCAGTGCATACAGTGTACAGATCTAGAAGTCTGAATACTGAAGTAATCCCTAACAACTTTTAGACATTAAAGTAGAATTCTCAGTTACTCCATGATCTAATTGTAAGAATCCACCAAAGGTAACTTAGAAAAGCGAACCAATTGTAAGTAGGCTTAGGTTTCACCTCTGGACCTCCAGTCGAAAATGCCTGGATGGTCCCCAGCTCAGGAGTCTAAGGTAATGTGGTGTAGAGGTCATGGTATTTTCTGCCTAATGGTTACGTGATGTTGTACTGTTAGTTTGAAAATATTATTTTAAACAAAATGGAGATCAGTAGAAAAAAACGGAAGAATGAAAGAGGGTTTTTTTCTGGAGGTGTACCTGAAAACCAGCTTAGAGCATTTTGCAACATTATAATAGAGACTTAACAATAATTCTCTTAATTCTCCTAAGTCACTGATAACTGAGTTTTGGCTGCTTGTGGATTTAATGCCACCATGAAATGTAATTTGTTTGTACATGAAATATTAACACTGTTCTATGCAGAAGTGTGAAACTGGAAGAATGCTAGCACTGATACTGCTTCAATTCTAAGTTGCATTTTAGTTCATTCTGTTTATTGTCATTCTATTAATTACTGTTACAGTAACACTCATTAGAGGCTTGGCAACAGGCAAACACAGAGAATTTGCAATCCCTGCTCCAAACACCTTGCAATTTCAATTTTCAAGGCAGGTGGTTAATAGGATATTAGCCCATTACAATGGGGGAGAGAACAAATGTTGTGCACATCATCATGCTTGGACTTTGTGGCAGAGATATGAATTGAACCCAGCTCCCCTGATAATCTTTCTGTATTTCATATTTTATTTTTTCAAGGACTCTGTAACTGTAGGGACTTAGAATGCTGCTTATTTATTTTCCCTTAATAAGCAGATTTTCTGGTATTTGATATTTCTGATATTTGATCTGAATGTACTGGAATATTATGAAGAGGAATGAGATGGAATTGCTTGCAGAGTAAGAGTTATCCTAGCATCCTAGACCACTGTAAAGAGTAGTTTCTGTTACTGCATTACACAGATACAGCAATATACAGAAGAGCAGTAGGAGTGGCTGAAACCAAAATGCCTGGGAGCTGCCATATATCTATTTGTTAAGAATTCATCTGGCAGCTCCTATTTCTGCTTTCTCACAGAGGTGAATAAAGAGAACTTCTAAAAGCCCACATGAAGCAAGTAGTATTTTTGGTGCTGCTGTGGGACATTAAATAGGTAGGTTCAAGTCCTTTGTTCAACCCAAGCTAAAGCAGAAGTGTGAATTCAGTCTCCCATCTCCCATGGCACTATCTTCATAGGAGTTGGCTGTTTTGGGATGGTTTGCTTTCTGTCTCCTGTGTTGACCAGAAATGCCAATGTAGCACTATGAATATTTTCTTAAAGCAGAACAGGCACCTGGTTGTGATACGTGTTGGTTTGGGTGAATAAGCATTTAACAGGGAAAAACTGCCAAGTCACAGAAATCCTTGACTGGTCCTTCACCCTTTTACTGATACAATTATTTTTCCCAATAAAGTTGTACATGACCACAAGTCTATATCCAAGTATTAGAGTTGTTTATCTAATCTGTGAAGTACAGGGAGTATAGTATGTGAAGGACTAACACAAGACCAATGCAGATTAGGCACTCAAAGGTAATAGTTCTTGGGACATTAATTTGTTCAGAATACAGGTAGGGAATGCTCCTTATTCCTATCTGCTTTATTCAGTATCCAACATACTATTGTATAATTTGGCTGCATGTATCATGAAGTGGAGATGTGGTTAGATTCTTGAATGCTTGATTGTCTCTTCACTGCAGCTTTCTCTGAGTATTTCTGTCTAAATTAATACTGTAAAATCAACCTGAACATTTCAAAGATCATACTTTGTAAAGCAAAACAAAAAGTATTAATGCAGCGATGATGGAGCAGCTCAGTGTTATCTGGGGACTGGAGGAGTTGGTCTAAACTATACAACATTTCTAAAATATTGTTTCAAAAAGGCGCAGCACCTTGAAAGCTTGTTAAAATAAAGCACATGCTTGCAGGAAAAATGTATGCTAATGTATAAAATAGTAAAATCTGTCCTACTTATGGAATCATATCTTTCCTTCTGCTCACCTCCAGTCCCAGAAGTGAAAGCAAGATTGCGTTGGTACAAATAACTCTGATAACATGATTAACTGGATGATTGCAGGTAACTGAGGTCTTGGCAAGGACCATGAAAGTTATGATTATGTAGATTCCTCCAGGGTCTTTATTACAGGCTGTCTTGTAGCCAGAGAATACTAACCATCTCCTGGGAAGTCAAGGTATGTAGTGACAGGAGAAGAAAGCAAAAATCTGATAGAAGGGAGCAAGACCACCAGGGTCATCTCATTTGGCAGCAGCTAGACTGTTGCTGACATCCCTACTAGGTATATTTTTCCAATCCATCTGTGTGTTTTTTTTTCTTCCAGTGTGCGGCTGTGACTTGGCACAAGGAGGCTTTTTCATTAAGAATGGCGAATATCTTTGCACCTTGGATTACCAGCGCATGTATGGTACCCGCTGCAACGGTTGTGGGGAGTTTGTGGAAGGAGAAGTTGTGACAGCTCTGGGAAAAACTTACCATCCGAGCTGCTTTGCCTGTACTGTTTGCAAGTAAGTCATCCCTTTCAACTAACATGGCATGAACCCAGTACAAGGAAAACGGGGAGAAAGGTATCGCCATGAGACACAAATCTCAAGACATATTTCTCTTTGGGAAGGATTTGGTTGGAAAAGATCTGCTGCAAGTCTGACTTTGAGGGTCTTCAAAATACCACTCATTTATTTGGGGGACACAGCTTCTCTGCTACATACAGTTCCGTGTTCTCAGAAAGTTACTCTCACATCTGAAAGAAAGAAGTATCAGGCTTACATGTTGAGGTAATGAACATGGGCTGAGTTGTGTTCAGGTGATTGGCCCAGCTTGATGGGAGAAATGAGGTAAAGCAAAATTCTGGATACTACAGCAGAGAAGTCATTTAGGCTATAAGAATAGTTAAACAATTGAGTAAATGCACTGCAAGTAAAATCGAAGTTTTCTCAGGTAAGATTCAGCATAATGCCTGAGGGACACATAAGAAGCATCAGATAGAGGTGTAGGTAGATTTCATAGAGAGGGAGGACCCAAAAGACAGGGCCTGTTCTTTTGTAGTCTTGGAGGGAGGTAGGACAGTGGAGTTCTGCAGAAGTCAGAATCTGACAACAGTCGAATTGTCTGAAACGTAATGCAGGAGGATGACATGAACAAGAAAGGCAAGAATATACGTTCTGAGATAGTACCTTGCTGGAGATCCCATCATATGATGCGTCTGAATATTAGTGTGGCAGACTTGCCAGGTTCTACCGTAATCTTTCATAGCTATCTCTGATGAGTAGTTTAAGTACTTTCTCCTGTAGCTTGGTACATTTTTCAAGACCTCTTCTATTGAAAGTATTTTGATCATTTTTCCTTTTGGATTTAAATAGTGTGTGAATTTATTGCATGTTGGTAATCGTATGATGTATATGTTTCAGATTTATTTCCCAAGGACAGTGTGAAAGTAGATGATATAATATGAAACATGACATCAATTTTCTGTACATGGACTTGCATCAATCTTTTTATGTTGAATGAACAAAAGATGAGTCATTGGAACAGATTCATGAAATGCAGTATCCACTGTAATATGTTTCATTGTTGAATACAGATAAAAGCAGTGTATTTATGAGTGACTAGGTCCACATTCCTTCACTAGCCTCAAAACCATTCTGATTCTTCCTTTGAGTTCTCTTCTGTACCATTTGCTATCCAAAACATCACGCTGAGACCATCGTAAATGTAGCTGTTGTGTCTAAGCAGATTTCACTGTCGTCTACTCTTTAGATAAAGTATGTTTGATAACTTTTTTAAACCAAAATATAAGGCAGGTCTAACCTCTGCTCTGCTTCCATCCACAGACTGGATTTCTTCCAGTGCCTGGCTTTGCCAAGGCCACATTGTAGAACCTATTTGGCCTGAGTTTCTGTAAAATATTGATTGCACTGGGAGAAGGCAGCAAACTCAAGGCATAGGGAACAGAGGATTTCTGGCATAACTTTTACTAAAATACATTTTTCTCTTTAACTCTCTAGGCGTCCATTTCCACCAGGCGATCGAGTTACCTTTAATGGAAGGGACTGTCTCTGTCAGATGTGTGCTCAGCCAATGTCCTCCAGTCCAAAAGAATTGTCTGCCTCAAGCAGTAAGTATGCCATCTTCTTTCTGAAGCCTCTCACTTTCCCAGGCTCTTCAGCATTTGGTTGAAACTAACTTAATGCAATCCTTTTTTTTTTTTTTTTTTAATTTTATTATTACGCACCTTTAGAAATGCAAACTACCTCTGGGAACCATCTTTATTCCCTTTCTTTCCCCCCCCCCCCATTAAAAGTGTCTGGTACTGCACATGGGAAGAGACACACATTTCAATATGAGCAAATGACTTCTCCCCAGTGACTGGGTTTTTAAAAGGGCTGATTTTTCTTTTATAAGCAGTGGAAAAGTATCTAATTGATGAAATCTGAGATTTCAGAGTTGATAGATTCCATTTTTTTTATGTATAATTGCTCAGGTTTAAGCATTCAAAGGAGGACAAAGTCAGAGGAAATTAATTTTCTTCTACTATTTAAGACTTTAAATTAATTAAATTATCCTTTAAAAGGAGTATCTCCAGGATTATGTTTCCGGTAGACTGATACCACAATGATACTGTGATCAGAACCTCAAGAAACCATTACAAAAAAAGAGAGAAAGCAAGTTAAGGGGAAAGCGAGGGAATGAGGAAAGTTTGGGAGGGAAATTAACTTGATTTCCTGTTGGGTTTTAATGCTTTCAAAATATAATTTGTAAATTACTGATACTAATCTCTGCCTCTGGTAGTTAACTTTTTAAATCTTTGGGGATTTCTGATTCTTTCTCTGACTGCTGGATTGTACTCAGCACTCTAATCTGTAATGACTTAGCCAGTATAGTTTTCTAATTCAACATGCCTACAGATTTCCTTGTGACATTAGTTTTACACCGATGTTGGTTTCCTTCAGGGAGACAGTGTGTATTCTGTACTGGTACTTGGCTTTGAGATTCTAGGATTATAAAGCGCAATGTAAAGGCAAAGTTGGATAATGTTTGTGCTCAGCGGATGAGGCAAATGAATCTCAGGTTATCTGATTTGCCTGAGAACATGTAATCAGACACTTAGCAAAATGGAAAATGAGAGACTTTTTTTCTTACCGTGCCTTTCTGTCTGTTGTGATACTTTTCCACTATAACTGTAGATTTGGAGCTGAAAATGCACAGGCCTAATCAGTTAGGGAAGAATTTAGGAACCTGAAAAAAGCCTTACAAGACTTACAAACAACATAGAAATGTATGAGGTACTTCAAGCACCCAGAAAATCCTTCTGAGACAAAGGAATGATGTGGAAATTGTATTTGAATTACTGATATTTAGGAGGTATAATTGGCAAGGAACTGCAAGGCACAGGGACCTTGGACAGTACTGACGTTCTTTTTCTAAGCATGTCACAGCACTGGTTCCCAAATGACTGGTGCTCAGGGGCAGAAGTGTCTGGATCACACTGCATCTGGTTCTCAAAAAGTGGCACGCTTGTCCAGCAGCGTGGCCGCTTTCCAGATACGTGACTCCAGGTGCCAAAATGCCCCCTAGCAAGTGATGGGCTAAAGTTGTCTGATAGTGAGCAAGCAAAAGAGCTGGAGGGTCACTTCCTGATAGCCATAGTCTCTGATTGAATTGCTTCTTGGGTTCCACACTGAAGTGATAGGTAGCAAGGATTATAAAACAATCTTCCCTGCTACTTGTGATGAGATTTTTTTTTTTTTTTTTTTAAATCAGAATTGGGTCCTGTGGGGCAAACTGCCTTAGCAATATACACAGCAAGAGAGCTCCTGCTCATAACAGTTTAGAGTGCACTAGTTCAAAATCTGCAAGACTTGTAGGAAGATATAGTATAGAGTTTCTGGTCATTTTAGAGCAAAACTCTCCAAAATAGACAAATAACAGCGAGACCAGTGTTTATAAGTTCAGAAAAACTCAATTAAAAGAATAACTAATGAAGCGTCCTCTGTCTTCAAAGATATGCCAGCTGCTGCTTTAGCTTTGTGTGAAAGTTGATTTAGATACGGAGAATTCTTTTCTTGCTGGCACTGAAGAGTAAATTTCTATTAGCATAAGCTGTTCCAGATTGCTTCCACGTCTCTCCTGCTGGCTGAATCAGACACATCAATTTTTTCTAATGCTTTTCCCTTTTTTGAAGGGATGGGGTTTTTTTTAATGCAAGTTCTTTTAAAAGACAATCTCATACTATGCATCTATTTTGTATCCTCTATTGCTGTCAGTTTTCCCTGATTACTTCCAAGCAGGTTACCAGAGGAGGCTTTCCTTAAAACAAAGAAAATTGGAAGTGAGGAAATTCAACAGACTGAAAGTATATCAGGTTTGATTGGTTTATGCAATGTAAAAAGGAGCCTTCGACTCATTAGAATGTCTGCATTAATGCTGACATGCCATTTTCTGATGTCTGTTACTTCACATAAAAGGCTTATTGACAGCTTTTCTTGGATGATTTCAAGGAAAATCAAATGCCTCTAAATACAGGAGTTAATATTTTGAGTAACATGAACCTGAATATTGTTACACTCACACCAATGAAAATCAGAAGGAAAAATACTGAATAATTAAATTTCCTTTTTTGTTTAATATTAGTTGGGTCCGTGGTACTTATTTACCTTATTTATATTAATAGTATATTTCTTTCACTGCACATATATTACCTGGAACAATTGTAGCTATTTTCTTGAAGAATCATTTCAGTGACTTCTTTTTTTATTCTAATTTTCTAAGACAGTCTTTTTCAGTATCCAGTTGCTGTAGAGTAGTCATAATTCATAATTTAGTGAACTCTATTCCTTAGACACTGCTAGATGTACACAGTGCACTAGCTTTGGGCTTTTCATTCATTCATTTCATGCAGCAGGAAATCTAATAGCAAATACCTGTAAATAGCTTTGCAGACAAATTAAATGGGTGGTGTTCTTTTTTGTTATTGTTTTATTTCATATGACAGCTTGATAAATGAGATGTGATCTCTAAAGCAAAGTGACTGGGACAGATGTAGAGCAGCACAGAAGCAGGGGACAACCAGACAACACTGACTAAAAGTGTGATGTGGATGGCTTGGATAGTTCAGGGTTTTCAAGATTCTGCCAAAGACAGGAAGTTATTTTCTTTGGGTCCTGATAAAGGAGTAATGTAAGTAATGTATCCTGGTAATTACTATTTATGTTTTAAGCAGTGTCCAGGTTTTGTATACAACATGGAGATTGCCTGATTTGTACTGTCTTAAGCTCTTTCCATTGTGTTCTAGCCACAGGCTAACACACCTGTGTTTGTTATGGTCCATATTCTCTTTCCAGAGAAGCAGTTGTGCAGGCATCTATTATTTCTAAATTTTAGGCAAGGCTTCAATTGTGTGCTTGGCTATTTGGCAATGGGTACCATGCTTCCCCCCGTCCCGTCCCGTCCCCCCCCCCCATTTTACCTTCTTTTAATTAAGGTCTCCTGTACTGTATCTCTGTTCCATATATGATAGCCTCATTTCACCCATTTTGTATCGCATATTCAGTGGACTGTTTTTGGAGGCTACCTTTAAAAATCTGCAAATTACGTGTTTTTCTCCATACTTTCATGTTGTAATTTAGAGTGAAAGAGAGTCAAAACCAAAGTCAAACTTTTGAATTTTTTGTTGTTGTTATTACTTTATTTTGTTTGGAAATTTGTGGTTTATTGTTCACATGTTGTCAGAGGAGTGATTATCTAGTGGTTACTTCCCTTGGACTTGGGAATTCCGAGTGTAGCATTCTGGTTTTTCCATACATGTTTTATGTATCAGGGTAGGTACTTAAATTTCAAGGGTCGGTTCTCTACCAGCAAAATGAAAAAATAATGCTGGTCTAGCTCACTAGTGTGTTGTGGTTATAAGCAATTTGAAGATGGTATGGTACAGTCCCAAGTACTGTACTACTGCCTGAGTCTTACCTATTGATGCTAAAGTCATAAAAATTAGAAAGTTTGTGTGGTTTTAACGTGTGTAAGGAGAAATTCAAGAACCTAAAGTCTGCCTAAATCCTTGTTCTTCATCCATGTTAGGGTTAGGTACCATTGAAAGAGTAGCATGAGCTTTATCGTATGTCTTTCCAGCATCTCAAAATACTTTACTCCCCTAGTGGCCAAACGAGTAGTGGCTGAGGGTACGCACTCTGGATTGCTCCATGCATTAGTGTGGGAAGCAGGGGCAAGTACATTGGCCACATTAACAGGCTTACCCTCTTTGATACTTCTCCATTAGGGCATTCTATCAGCGAATTCTCACCAAGGTAGCTGGGAAGTGAACTGATGCGGACATTTGAACATAAAAATCCCTAGTTTGGTCAGACTGTCATTTTTAAAAAGTACCACGCTGGCTTGCATTTCTTCTTGAATGCACTGGAGGTGTCGCGAAAAGTACAGCTGAGAGCAGAGCAGCCGTGGAGAGATCCCCCACACGCAGGGTAGGCGCGCGAGGTGGTGCCAGCAGCCTGCGCTGGCGGAACTCGAACCAGCAGTCTTCTGGCTCAGGGATCATCTTTGAAATTCTGAAGAGACTATGTGTCTTTGAACACAGTCTAATACATTTCCCTCTTCCTCAAACAGATATTTTTCCCTTAGGCATTTCACTATTTCCACGGTAAAGAACTTCAGTAATAAGAAAGTTATGTTATTTTTCTACCTGAGATTGAGCCCTTTTTCTGTTGGTTCCTTGTCTGGCTGCTAGTAAGGAAGTTTTAGTTATTTCTGATTACCTTTTTGCTGAAAGGTCGGATCATTTTAGTGATGTGCATGAACTAATTAAGAAATTGCATTTCAAATGAAAAGTGGGCTTTCTAGATGGACAGGAAAAAACTCCCTGTCCAAAAGAAACTGAAGCGTTACAATCACCTAGCAAGAGTTTTCATTTGAAAAATTCATCTTGTTTTAAAATGATGGTGGAGACTTTCACAGTTTCCTCTTCTTCAGTGAAATAGATACTTCTGTCCTATATATGCCGAGATGTGCAGTGACAATACTGTTTGGAAAGAAGCAGAGGGAAGATATGTCAACTCCCCTTTCTTTGTAGCAGTCTCTGCTGTGAGTTAAGAGCATTACAGCACA